TAAGATGATTGGTAGGTAGTGGAACTTGTTTTAAATCATTCACTCTTTTATATTATAAACGGTGGGTGAATTGTCAAATAAAAGTGTTCAGGTATCTTTAAAATATAGAGGAGAGAAAAATTTGGTTCCTTCTTTGGCCACTGTCAGTGGTAAGAGACCTGCAGAGAAACTTAAAAAGTGTCAAATCTATGAACACACAAATAATATGGTCATATTAAAGTAAATTATCTTAAACTGCTTAAGCTTGAATATATGATAAGTTTGTTTTTTGGTGTTCTAAGCAAAACACAAAGCTTGTATTAACACAAGCATATTTGAACCAATTATTTAGCTTTTAACAAATGATACATAAATGTTCCCTTTCACCTAACTAAAACAAATACGTTCTATCACTTCTTTTTCCTCAGAGAAGAGCTTGCATTAGACTTATTTCTAAATATGACAGGTAATAAGTGAGTGCACACACCCTCTCACATTTACAAATGACTTATTCGAAAGTAAATAAAGATGCATAGACTGTGTATTATTTCTGTTCTGTCAGTGCTTGTATTCCTTTACAGATTAAAATGTTGCTGATGGTTGTAGTAGAGCCAAATGCCATATACAGTCCTAGTGCTTATTATCCAGGGGCTTGAATGGATAACAGCTCTTTGGTAATTATGCTAGATGCTCATTAGTGCTGAACAAGCACTAATCAAAAATTTAATCTACCATATCATTTGTCAATTTGATTAGTTGTTTGGGGTAATCGGCTTCAGAAATAAAATGCAACAGAAAATTTGATTCTGTTATATTCATGAAACAAGTCTTTCTTTAACTCTTACCCAACTCCTTGGATAGGAAGGAGTTATAAAATATCTTTCTGTTCAAAACTGGTATATGAAAAGTAAATTGTACATATTTTATTGATTCAGAGACATTTCCTTTGAGTAAAAGCTTTGAACATATCATTCCTTCAAGAGGAAATAGACCTATTTGCATCATAAATTAGAACCATATGAAATCATTATTAACAGACCTTTGTATGATACTACAAAGTCATTGTAAACTTCTTTCAACACAATATCAATATTTTATGATTATTGTCAATTCTCACATAGTTTAATATAGGCAAAGAAAATAATCTTATCTTGATTCCTTGATATTGCTGCTGAAAAATTTAATTTTTGACCATGACATGGAATAATTCTCAAAGACTATAATATGTCATAACATGTTTATAATTATGGTAGAAAGCTGTAACACTCAACTATATTACCCCTGGATGGCTTAGACTTGTTTGTGTTGCTTTATCCATCTAAGAGAAATGGAATTGTCATGTTCCTTTTAATTATATTTAGTGGTGCAATTTTGACAGTTTATTCACTCCCTGGGAATCAGTCCTGATGTTTTCACTGGCAACTTTATGTAAATATACTTGTCTTTCAATCTTTCACTGTTAGTCCTTTGCTCACCAAGATGTAATATTTTTATTAGTTTTGGCAAAGTTGAGAGAAGCATAGGAAATCATGCTTGACATGACTAGGAAGAAGTAGAAGAATGGAATGACAATAGATAAGGGAAATGGGAGTGATTATGAAGATAACTGAAATGGCCTTAGAAGAATTATGGGTTAATGACCAAGGATGGGTTTTTAAAAAAATAATATTTTAAAAAATTATATAGCTTTCACATTGCAATCCTGGGTGAGTCATAACACTCAATAAAGACAACAACAACAACAACAACAATAACATTAATAATAATAATAATAATAATAATAATAATAATAATAATAATAATAATAATCCTAGGCCCCTGGGTGGGGCCCAACTAGTAACCAATGCTAAATCCGGCGAAACAACTGGCCGCTGTGATACAATTGTATAATAATAAATAACCTATCCCACAAGGTGCCACACCAATCAACCTCTTAATCTTCTGATTCAACTCCTATCCTATCCCAATGCTTGAAGTAAGAATCAGATCCTCATCACTATAATTTGACTCTCAAGTGGAAGGTTTTATAAAAGTTTGGTGGAACTAGAGAGAAGGCATGCCTCCAAGGTCCTATCAGATGACAGCATTGAAGAAAATGGATTTGGAATATAGCTCTTGTCTACTCAAGTGAGACAGGCAGATATCCTTGACGGTATGTTGCAGGTCTGGGTATGTTGCAGGTTCTGGGTACCTCACCATTTGCCTGAATTATAGTATTGTTATTCAGGCAAATGGTGAGGTACCCAGAATTATGTGCATGGACAAGTTTGGGGTGCCAAAAGGTTTTCAAGAGCAGTTCCATGTAGAGTGCCTTGCAATAATCCAATCAGGAGATGACTAAATATGAGCCACATGGGCTTGTGAAAGTTTTGAGATAAAACAAACAAAAAAATCAGTAGTACTGTTACCAGTCTTCCAATTACAATTATTTATTTATTTAGCACATTTATATAACTGCCATCTCATTACAACCACCCACAACTCTGGGTGGCAAACAACAGAGTTATACTGTATAAGTCTCATGGAAAGAGCACCATTAAAGGGCACCATAAAAGATCTCCAATAATACTGGGGCAATACCTCACATACTGACTTCTGTCTTATACCACACATCTGGGCCAGGAAGTTTAACAACTTTTACTGATTTAGTATTATTATTTTTTTTAGGATAAGTGGGAACCTAATTGTTTGTTCATGTGTAATCTTTCAAAGATCTATTTTAAATAAAAATAATAATTTCTTCCTTGGTTGTATTTATAGCACTTGCTTTATAATAGCAGACTATTATACAATAAAAATATAAATACAAAGTTATTGTTTTATTGACTCAAATTTATTCAAAAGCTTACTCTAGGCAGAGTAAGCTTTTGAGCCGAGATGGCGCAGTGGTTAGGGTGCAGTACTGCAGGCCACTTCAGCTGACTGTTATCTGCAGTTCAGCGGTTCTAATCTCACCGGCTCAAGGTTGACTCAGCCTTCCATCCTTCCGAGGTGGGTGAAATGAGGACCCAGACTGTGGGGGCGATATGCTGACTCTGTAAACCGCTTAGAGAGGGCTGAAAGCCCTATGAAGCAGTATATAAGTCTAACTGCTATTGCTATCTTTAACAATGGAGGTTCAGTAATTTATTAAGGTGAATTTCACCTTGCTCTGGATCCTTTGTTTTATACAAGTTTATGAATATTCTCTTACAGTTATTATGGTTCTGTTTAGCACTCATAAATCTTTATGTAATTTTGTTATAGATTATCTTTCATAAGTGCTCAAAACTTCTATTTCCCCCCCCCTGAAATTTTCTTATTCTTTTTTCTATTGAACACTTTCAATTTTAAAACGCCTTATAGTATTTATTTTATAAAGGCCCTAATGTTTCTTAGTGCTGATTGAGTTTGGTTGTCTTCTTGCAGATATTTAGGTAATATCTTCAATATTATTAGCTATTTTGAGATCACCTGCAATTGCTAGTAGTATTATCTGGTAAAATAAAGATATCTGTATTGACAAGAAAATACATCCAAAGAATCATTAATATACTAAGCTTCCTTACATTGAATTATGAACACTATGAAATATTCTACTTCTCCCATATTTTTCCAACCCTCTTACTTAACTGGCAATGCTAAAGTGTGTACTTGTAACCTCTCTGATTTCTTGTATATGAGTTATAAATAAGGATTATTAATGAAAAATTATTGATGATGGCTTATAACATTAAATAATCTATACCAGGTGGGTGGCTTTGGTTTTACTAATCTTCTATAGGTGATTGAATTAAAACAGGAACTTTTCTATTTTGATGCCCATTTTTGGATATTTTCACACTCGTTTATATGTGGTTGCATAAAAGCCAATAAAGGAAAGATGATATTCAAAAAATACATTACAACTATCAGGAAATTTATTATATAAATGTAATTGGAGTGAAAATCTCTTGTTTTATTAATAAAGTTTTTTTAATTAAATAATCTGATGTTTAACACACAACAATTGTTCAATTGATGGTTTATCTTAAACATTTTCCTTTATTGCTTTCCTAAATATGAAGACTACACTTAATTGTTCCACTTACATTACATTCTCCCAGAATACTGTTGAAGTGCACTTTCAAACAGACTCTCCTAGTCAGATGCAGTCTGCCTCTAAATATTATATCTTGGATACTCATACGTTTGTTTCTTTTGGTCACTGTTGGAAAAAAATGATTACAGGATTACAAATTAAACATTTGTTGGCAATGCAATGCAATTCATATGAGGCTAGACTTCTAATTGGAAACACAAAAGAATGTCTTTTAGCCTTTACACAAGGATAACTACATGATTTGTATCTTAATTATAATGTTTATCTTCAATTATTAGCCTACTCCACTTGATCTCTCTCTGATTTGTTATTACAGTAGTCCTTAGTATAGTAAGAACATAAAAAGAGTGTTGTTTATTCAGTTAAAGATCTTTATACAGAGTACTATCCACAGTGGTTAACCAAGTGCCTTGGAGAAGTCCACTAGCAAATCCTCACCCCTCCTACTTGTGTTCCTCAGCCACTGATATTCAAGAGATACAGACCCAATGAAGGAAAGCAAATAATTAGTTTAGGACTGACAATTCAGTACAGAGGTGGGGATGGAGAAGATTCCAAAATTACATCTCCTTTGGTCATAGGCTTAGTATATAGAGTTTAGAAACAGAACATATACTGATTCTGTTTTCTTTCTTTACAATTCACTTTTGTTATTGGTAGTATATTATATTTACATTACATGCATTACAGTCACTCAAATGAAGAGTACTTTATTTTAATCAAAAGTTAGTCATTGTGTGTTGTGCTTGAGATACTCTGAGCTTTTTTGTTTGCATGTATCTGTATGTAGTTATTGTTATTTACAAGATAAATGCCTTTCTAAATCTGCTTCAGTTGTTCATATGTTGCTTTCTTTTAACAGATTAAGGCTGGTTCCATAAATAGCACTGTCTTAATATTGCAACTGATGCCATCTGTGTTTGTTTTCCTTTCTTTATAGTACCCTCAATAACAACAACATCTCACGCATCCCTCTCACCAGCTTCAACCATATGCCAAAGATCAGAACCTTGTAAGTACTGAATCATGAATCACTCACAGCTTCGACTGACATATATGGGTACAGCGGTCTTTGTGTCTTGATTCATTGATTAAAACAAAGGCAATGTAATAGCTGCGTCAGAGAAAAATGCTGTTCTTTTGTTACCCCCTTTTTTTTTTTGGCATAGTTTGCATGGAGAAACCTAACTAGAGATGGGAGTGATTAGTGGAAGAAAACTGGATCTATCATTGTAGGTAGATGTTACTCAACATTTTTGTTTTTCCAGAGAAGCCAAGACTGTCATGTCAAAATGTGGAGGACTTGCTTTGTACAAGGCCAGTGTTTTCAACAGTTGATGAACTGTTGTTTGGAAGAAGCCATATGGAAAAATATTAGATGATAGGTTTGTAAAAAGGAGCAGAAGGGTAACAACAATTATTCTGCACCTTTTTCCTCCTTCAAGTCTTCCACCACCACTGTTCTAAAAAATAGGACTACATCTTGGCTTCAAAAGTCTGCACAACCATCAAATTACCACAAAGACTAGCTTTTTGCTGGTATCTAATGGTTGCATGGATCTTTTCAGCCCACATATGATATGGAGACTCTCAAACCATCAGATAGCTGTAAAGTAAGGACTGGTGGAATTTTCTGCCTTCCCTCTGGTCTTGCTGGATGAAGTATTCCCTGAGTGGAACTCTACTAAGAATCTAAAACCCAAACACAGGGTTTTCAATGCTCAGAAGCATTGCATTATTTTCAACTCCCTTTACAATCTTTATATGCGAGACCGCCTACTGCCACATACCTCCCAGCAGCCGGTAAGATCCCACAGATTGGGCCTTCTTCAGATGCCATCAGCCAGACAGTGTCGGCTGGCGGGCCCCCGGAGGAGAGCCTTCTCTGTGGCTGCTCCGATCCTTTGGAATCAGCTACCCCCAGAAATCCGGACCTTACCCACTCTCATGGCCTTCAGGAAAGCTATTAAAACCTGGCTGTTCCAGCAGGCCTGGGGCTGTTGACCTCATTGTTGAGGTCCAGCCCTGATTAGAACGAATGCATGTGTTGTGATTTTAAACTGTCTTTTTCTTATTTTTTTTCTTCTCTTCCTTCTTTTGTAAGCCGCCTGGAGTCCTTCGGGATTGGGCGGCATATAAATTTTAATAATAAATAAACAAATAAATAAATATGTAGCCAGCTATAATATGAACACCCACTTTGATGTAGTGGTTAAAGCATCTGGCTAGAAACTAGAAGGCCAGGAGTTCTAGTCCTGCTTTAAATATACAATAAACTGTATCACCTAGGGCCAATCCCTCCCTTTCCATCTAGGAAACAGGCAGTGGCAAAAAAACTTTTAAAATCTGAAAGTCCAGGCAGTTACCAGGTGTCAACACTGACTTGAAGATGCTAGAAAAACAGTAAAAAAATAAATTATAAATAGCTGCAATATAAATATTATTGCAATGTTGATGATGAAGTATGAGGACTATGGTAAAAATACATAGCTAAATCAACACTTAAATCTGTATTTCTTTTTATTTTGTTTATGTGGTTGCATTGGCTCGGTCCACAGTTCACAATAACACATGGTTTATTTGAAATGTACCAAATTGGGGGCTGCTTTATCAATAGCATTAAGCACAAAACAAAGAAATCACATTATGGCTTAATATGATTGTCTAGGAAAATAAATTAGAATTCATCCTAACCAAAGAAATGCTGACCTATTGTCACTCAGAAACGCTAAATCTTTCTTTACCTCTCATGCACCAGATGCACCTCCCAGATATTCTTTTTAGCCACATAGAGTGAATTTTACAACTTAAGCAACACAAATGTGAACACACAGCTGAGAATAACTAGGTCTGCACAAACTATTTGGAGCAGTGCTTTGTGAAACAACAAGCACCTCTGAACCTTTTGTTCTAAGTATCTTCTCCTTCAAAGATACAGCATAGCTGCTTTGAAGGTTGCCAACATTGTTTGAACATACCAGTACGTAAAGTAAAAGAGGCCAAGAGTGCCTCAAGGGGAAAGCTATTTTCTTATTCCCTTGAATACATTCACGATTCATATTTGAATGCCTTTCATTTTTATTGCTTGTAAATTATATTTGGAATTAAATATTGGTACCATTTAATTTTAACAGTGTTGAGATCTCCTCTGTGGTTCCGTTACATATTAACAGCAACTCTTGTTTTAGACTATTTCTCTTCACACATTTAACAATGAATTCTTCTATTACAGATTTATGAAGCTTGAAGTTAAATAGTATCTGTCAGAATACATGTCAGTCCACTAATATCAATAAGGGGCTGCTTTTTGTAGCCTGTCTCTTAAGTGAAAAAATTGCAAGAATATCCTCCCCTTTTATTTCTAATGGTCTTTCCAGTTTAGAGCATTACAAATTGTGCAGGTGGAATCTTCTTATAGATATCGTAGCATTAGTACTATAAATGAGATATCATGGCTCTTATTTTCCATAATATCTTTGACTTTAATTTGGTTTTAGACAGTACATGAAGTAATTACTGCCATGCAGAAACATTCTTCTGGCTTTTTGTTTCCCAATCATTCAGTGTTTCATTTTTCTTCTAAGAGAGGGTAAAAGTCTAGTTTGGTGAAATTCACATAGATGATGTGATTTTTTTTAAATCTGCGGGGTGGGGGAGATACAGAGAGATGGACAGAGGGGGATGGAGGGAGAATGAGAGGGGAGAGAAAGAGAGGGAGGAAGAGATCATATACTGCAGTACCCAATGAGTCAATGATCTTCAGGGTCCATGGATATCCCTATTTGAATTAAATCTTACAGGAAAGCTGCCTAAAGAGAGCTATTCTCACTGAGTTTTGTCAAAAAGAGAAGCAGAGATAATAGCACTGTTTACGCTACCCTCCTTACAGAAATAAATTAAGTTCTAAAACCCCCTTCCCCTCCAAATAAAAAAATAAACTTTTTTTTTTTTTTTACAAAGGAGAAACATTTCAAGAAATAGAAGTACAGGTTTTGGCATCATATGAGTTTTTATTAATTAAAAGGTGTTTATATTTTGGTGAATTT